ACAGCTTATATTTGGTCTCCCAGTCTCAGGGACATGAGGGATCTCATCAGGAGTGATGACTCAGCTCATCATCTCAGCCTTCACGGGGAAAGGACGAGGCAAAGGCAAGAGGATCAAAGTAAGGTCCGCCAGCCAGAGCTATGTAGCAAGGCCTGCTCTCTAAACAAAGCAGGTGGGCAGGATTTCCCACCTGATAAAGACCACACTGCACATGCCTACCAGCCTGATTCTAATCCCCAGAACTCACATTGAGGCGAGAATGGTGAACTGACTCCACAAAGTCATTTTCTGATCTTTATATGTTCTTCATGGCGCGTGTGCCCACACATATACATGTACACACAAAAGCAAGAAACACAAATTTTAATGGTTTGAAACAAAAACCAAAAATGGGCCAAAACGATGTGTTGGCAGACAAATGCAGGCGCTTGTTACCAAGCCTGACACATGAATTTGGTCCTTACGATCCACAAGGTAGAAAGTGAGAACTACTCCAGCAATTTGTCCTGTTCTCCACACATGTGTCTTCACACTCCCTGTGGTGTAGCGGCTTCCTTTGAGATTAACACATTCCATCCTACAGGAAGGTAAACGACCCAAAATAGTTTCAGGAAGTCCCTGAAACTGACCAGATTCACTAGGCCCCTTTGCCAGAATAAGAAGAGCTGAGAGCCCCTCTCAGAAGAGCAGAGCCAAGCTGCAAGAAAGACTCTCAGACAGGCTCAGCTGCAAAAGAAGACTCCTGAGACCAAACTAGCTGCTTAAAAGAAGCAGAAACCAAATGAGCTTCCTGGAAGAGGTTTTACCTTAGGGTTTTATTGCTGTGAAGAGACACCATGACTGTGGCAACTCTTCTAAAAGAAAACACTTAATTGGGGCTGGCTTTCAGAGTCCATTGTTGTCATGGCAGGAAACACAGGCAGTCATGGTGCTGGAGAAGGAGTGGAGAGTTCTACATCTTGACCCATAGGCAACAGAAGGAGGCTGTGAGCCACTCTGGACATAGCTTAAGCATATGAGACCTTAAAAGCCTGCTCCTATAGTGACACCCTTCCTCCTACAAGGCCACACCCACTCCAACAAGGCCACACCTCCTAATAGTTCCGCTCCCTATGGGCTTATGGGAGTCATTTTCTTTCAAACCACCACAGGCTCAGTCCAGCTGAGGCGCCTAGAAAAGACATTCGCCAACCTATTGAAGTGCCTATGGGCTCTGCAGTGTGCCCCAGGCTCCTAGATTTGTGAGTTGTCACCCATGCTGGGGTGGGCTTTGGTGATGCAGCTATCTCTGCATCATTTTTGCTCATGTAAGTAACCTCACCTGCATTCCTGTAAGTAACCCCAATAAAACCAAGTTCACCAAGGTGGACTTGGGAGGTATCCCTACTTTGGTCTTTGTGGTCTCCCTTTCTGAGGTGAGTAGATGTATGTGTTGTGTCTCTCTGGGAAACATCTTGTAACTTTCCCCACCACATACCCAAATAAAGGTGTGGTAATTTTTTTTTTTATTCTTAGAAGAAAGAAGTGTTCGATAATCCAAATAAAAAAAAACTAGCCAGATCTTGTCAGTTTTAAATGATTAACATCCACCTGAAACTAATGTTAGCAACATTTTTAAAGTCTTCTTTTCTATCATAACCGGAAGCTGTTGTGGAGCAGATGACCTCAGGCCATCCTGAAACTCAAGACTCATGTATGTCAACAGGACACTACAGTGCTCACCTCTGTAAGTGTTACAGCTCTGAGGGGTAAGTACCCTGGCTGTTGGGAGCCAAGGAATACCGAAAAGTCACACTGCAGAACAAACCTCACAAGAGGAATTAGTCAGGAAGAACACGCGAGGGCCAGTGCCTCTCCGTGGGCTAGAAGCAGCAGAGAACTGAGTGGAAGGCAGAGTTATCCATGGTGGCTGGGGGTGCAGGCTTTCAGGTTGAGCATTAGTGGCATTTTAGGTGCTGATCTTTGGGCAAGCTCAGGGATTGGTGGGCTTTCCAATCCCAGAAGTGTGCTCAGACCTTTTACTCTACACTGTCTTCCTTTTCTGCATTTGTTCTCAAGTAGGCTCTTCTGACAACTGGACAGAGATTACTTAAACTCTGTGCAAGCTACTTTCAGGAGAAAGTTCTGATTGGTTCAGCTTTGCTATCTGCTCATGCATGAAATAAAGGCTGTGCCCTACAGATATGTTCTCTGAGAACTATTCATCAGTCTCCTGGATTTGTCACCCATTTTGTCTTCCTTGATGAGTCCAGACTTGTTTGGTTTTGTTTTCTGAGATGGGGTCTCATGTGGTTTAGGCTGCCCTGGAACTCACTGGGTAGCTGAAGATGACCTTCAGTTTCTGGTCTTCCTGTCCGTGTGTCCTGAGTACTGAGATTACAGACATACACCGCCACATCCACTTTCTGCTGTGCTGGAGGCTGAACACAGAGCCTTGCTTTTCTAGGCAAAGTCTGAGCTGCAGCTCCAGTTCAAGATGGAGTTTTCTGTACTTGCTTACTATGATAACACTCAGTTCTTTAAACAGGAACATTGTACCCCCACACACACACTCTTTACATTCTCATTTCTTTATTCCTTTGTGTGTGTGTGTGTGTGTGTGTGTGTGTGACCAATATAATTGCCACAGCATACAAAACCTCTGCTAACTCACGGAGGACAGAACAAGCCCCCTTTCTGACTGACCCTATTGCCAGCAGCAAATAGTGTTTACTTTGCTCCACCCTTGCTGTCTTGACTTCAGAGCACGCAACAGTTTCATATTATGAAAAAGTTCAAAGCTGCAGCAGAATTCTTGTTACTGTCCATCTTTACCCTTGCAATGTACAAAAAAAAAAAAAAAATCAAGCTACAAAATTAAAACAAAAGAAAAATACATTTGGTATTAATCTACTGACAATGGCTTTTCTATTTATTTGTTTTTGTTTGTTTCGAGGTAGAGTTTCTCTATTTGACAACCTTGGCTGTCCTGGAACTTGTTTATAAACCCTCTAGAGATCTTCCTGCCCTTGCCCCCTAGGTGCTGAGATTAAGGGCATGTGCCACTACACCCAGCTGACAATGACTTTTCTTTTTTCTTTTTCCTTCCTTCCTTTCCTCCTTCCTTCCTTTCTCCACACCCTCCCTCTCTCTTTCTATTTTTTGGTTTTTCGAGAGAGGGTTCTTTCCATATAGCCCTGGCTGGCCTGGAACTCACTTTGTAGACCAAACTGGCCTCAAGCTCAGAGATCCTCCTGCCTCTGCGCTGGAGTACTGGGATCAAAGGCGTGTGTCACCACTGCTCTCAATGGCATTTCAGTTTGACATCTGAGAGACTCAAAACTAGCATATTGATTATGTGTGTGTGTGTGTGTGTGTGTGCGCGCGCTCGCGTGTGTGCTGGACCCACATAGCTAAGAGAGAATGAGTAGGTTTTAGTTAGGTTGTATAGATCACATGTACAAACATCTGAAAAGAAGAGTGAGCTTGATGAACTACAAGTCTTCAGGTGTTCCTGGATTACTGAGGGGAGAGGAGATGGATCACACAGAACGTAGGAACCCAAGTGGAAAGGCAACTGTGGATAATCAGAAGTACTAGGTGCTTTTTACTGGCACCACTGGAGTGAATGATAGCCACAAGACTTTTCTTTTTGGTTTTTCGAGACAAGGTTTCCTTGGCTGCCCTGGACTTGCTTTGTAGACCAGGCTGGCCTCACAGCACTCCACCTGTCTCTGCCTCCCGAGTGCTGGGATTAAACGCATCCACTACTATGCCCGGCTTACAAGGTCTTCTTTCTTATAAAGCATACATTTTAATGGGGGAGGCATTTAATTATTCATGAATATTAATCAAGGACAGTAGATTTATCTTGACATTAATGAAACTATCTTGAGTGGTAACTCTCACAATTACCCCTTGAGTCACCCTGGTCAGTCATAAAACAGACAAAATCATGATGTGTGTGAAGCTTTATGCTCAGGCCTTGACCTAAGAATGTGCCTGGCTCTGATTAGTTTGAGATAAACCAGGTATAATATAGCTTGGGTGAAATCTCCTTTGAGGGGGAGAAGGAGATTTTAGATAGTCTATGGTACCTGACGGTGCCAAACTTGCACCGTCATGCCTCGCTCTGACATAATTTTGTATTTTATTTTATAACCCACATATTTTCTAACCCAAATCTTAAGGACCGATGTGGTTTTCTTGATGTCCTGGCCCATGCCTCTTTTTAAGCCACCCATACACTGCACACTGCAATTCTGGGCTTGCCTGCCTCCCTTTGGACCAGTTCCCATACATTGGATCAGAGCTGTTGTGTGGAAAATGTACATTATATCAAAGCAGTAGTCTAGATAGTGGAAACTGCAGTAAACATTTGTAGTTCCTTGCTTTCAGACACTGCATTCTGGTTTTAAGAAGGTGCCCTGTAGCTTTAGGGTTATTACAATTCACATCCCCAGAGGAAAACCACTCTGCCCAAAGTTCTGATTGGCTCAGCTTCGTTGTCAAGTCACCAAGGACAACTTGCGGGACTGAGTTCTTCCAACGTGCGGATCCGAAGGATCAAACTCAGGTCTTGGAGGGCTTCTCTCAGAACCTCGCTACTCGGCCTCCTCCCGCCCAGGTCTTCCAGCAGCCCTCACGCCCTCCGCTGGCGCAGAGCACTCCTCCCGCCGCCGGGGGCCGCTGTCGCGTGGCGGCGGCCGGAAGGCAGCGCGGCTTCCGCGCTCTCGTCCCGCGTCCGTCCGCAGGCCTCCGCGCGCTCTTCCGGCCATTCATACGCCAGGTCGGTGGGTCTTGGGAGCCTGAATTCCGTGTGCAGTCGGACCAGAAGGGAGGCTGCGCCGCTAGGATGAAGCTCGTGAGGTGAGGAGGCTCCCCGGCCGGGCGAGGGCGGCGGGGAGAGGGTTTGGGGCGGCCCGGGGGCCCGGCCGCTGCGCCCGCAGGGAGGCGGGAAAGCCGCGTGCGCGCGGCCTGCTAACGGCCCCGCCGCGCCCTGCTCTCCGCCGCCGGAGCCCGGGCGGGGGACCGGCGCGCCCCGGCCCCGCCGCTCTTCCAGGAACGGAGGGGCCGAGCGGTCTCGGCTCACTTCGTATCCCGCGGCTTGAACTGAGCAGGTGGCCCGTTTTCGTGGCGAGTCGGGCTACTCGGACTGACGACAGCTCAGAACCAGCATGGTTTCGTCTCTTTGCAAGACGCTTTAGATGAAGTTCTCCTTAGTTTTGTCCTGGTTGGTAACTCGTTAATGTTTGGACTCACGAGAGACAGTGTCCCGGGATGGGGCAGAAGTTACCTTAGTTTCGCCTGATTGCACAGATTACGGCGGCTGGTGGAGCCTGACTAGCGGCTTGTTTCGCGGGTATGGTTAGTTCCAAGCTAATAGGCTTGAGGCCAGGCCTGAAACAGGATATAATGCCTAAGCCAATTGCTAGAAATATTTAGTTTCCTGTTGAGTCGAGAACTGTTGTAGTTGATCAGGATGCCATTGGATACCTGTTAAAGTAGTTTTGAAGTTTTCTGTTTGACGGTGAAGACAGTAGATTTAATACTTATGGCCTGTTTGAAACAACAAATGCTCTATTCAGTAGGAGTTTGTAGAGAATGCATTTCAGGTAAATAAAAGAAAAAAAATTTTTTTTCACCTGTTCTGGGGTTAACGCCCAGAGAACTTTGAGCTACAGCTCATTTCATTTGTATTTGGACTGTCACATAGGGAGAAAGCCGCAGAACACTTTTGCTGTGTCTTTACTGCCTACTGTGAACTATAATGTATTTGCAATGACTTTTATGCCTATCTCATTTAAAGGTTCTGTTATGATAGATTTGCTTTGGGGTGATGGTACAAGGGGTACCTCCAGCCAGCGTCCTAGGCAAGTGCTGACTCTGCTCGTGATGTGATTTTTTTTTTAAGATTTGTTTGTTTATTTGTTTATTATGTATACAATGTTCTGTCTGCATGTAGACCTGCACACCAGAAGAGGGCACCAGATCTCATTATGGATGGTTGTAAGCCACCATGTGGTTGCTGGGAACTAAACTCAGGACCTCTAGAAGAGCAGCAGCCATGGCTCTCCAGCCCATGATGTGATTTTTTTTAATGGCTTGTCTTGAATATCATTTTGTGTAGTGCACAACATAGAAATTGCTTACAGGAGAATGTACTTTACCTCATGAGAATGGTTGTGTGACCAGTTTGCATTTTCAGTGCACTTTCTTATTTATTTGTACATCAGCTAATAGGACTCTTATTTCTCCTTTGTTCCATTACCCCCCTGCCCAAACGTAGGAAGTGAGCTTTCTCTTGATCTCTCTGTCATCTGGTAAATTGCCAGTTTTCCTAATATTTCCAGATACCTCTCACTGTCCAGTTCTCTTTGGCTTTCTATTCAAATAGGGAGAATTTGGATACTAAAAGGATCCCATGTACCAGACTGTTTGTAACATTTGCATTAAGACAAAAATTCACAGCCAGGGGGTGGTGGCACTTTCTCTTGAGTTCTAGGCCATCCTGGTCTACTGAGTGAGTTCTAGGACAGCCAGAGCTACGCAGAACTACTGTCTTGAAAAAAACAAACTAAAAAAACAGTAAGTCAGGGTTCCTCTGTAGCCTTGGCTGCCCTGGTCACTCTGTAGACCAGGCTGTCCTCGAACTCATAGATCCGTCCTGCCTCTGTCTCCTGAGAGCTGGGATTAAAGGTGGCACCACTGCCCAGTTGTGCCTAGCTATCTTAAGGGGATTTCTTAGCAAAATATTATCTCCACAAAAGGACCCCACATCTTCTTTCTGAGTGCTGGGATTAATTAAAGGTCTTTGCCACCATGCTTGGCAAAGTAATTTTTTACTATTTATTATTATTATTAATTATACTTTATTCATTTTAAAGTAATTTTTTTAAGGTGGTATTTTAAGGTCGGCTTTCCTTTAGTTGCTGAAGCATTCAGCCTGTCCTCAGTGCTGTTACAATTCAGTTTTGGCTGTAGAAAGGTTCTGCTACTTTTTTGTCTCCATAGCAGAATTGTGGGAAGAGCGGGATAGGTAATATTACTTGTGCAGCCAGTTAGTGGTGGCACATGCCTTTAATCCCAGTACTCGGAGGCAGATTGCGCTGAGTTTGAGGCCAGTCTGGTCTTCAGAGTGAGTTCCAGGACAGCCAAAGCTGCACAGAGAAACCCTGTCTCAAAAAAGAAAAAAAAAATATTACTTGTGCAGTTTACTATAGTGGATGCAATAGGAATGTACAAGGAATATTGTAGAAAAATAAGATAGAATAGAAAATTTGAATATGAAGTATTATTAAATGATATTGTAGGATTATCATGCCATGGCCATTTGGCTAAAATAAAGCATGACTGATATTGTAGAATTATTTCACTTCATGTAGTTGTGTTATTGTGGATTATAGACTAGACTAGAACATGTAAATATGGAGTGTCTGCTAGGCGATATTGTCAGATATTGTGTGAAATTGTAATATTAGGGTACTTTGGGAGGATGTCCTCACTAGAAGTACATGCTTAAGTATCAATGCCAGCACCTTACTTCCAGAAGACAAGGTTTTGAAAGTGTTAAACTACTGAAGAGAAAGAGAGGGATGGCAACATTTTGATAATTTGTGACCGCCAACTTTTCTTCCTTGCAGTATGTCATGGTAAAGAAATCAGAGCAAGAGTAGGTGAGGAGCAGGCAGTGTGTGATGGAATAGCTGCCATCCAACTGGGACAGCAGCAAACGGGGGTTCATTCCTTAGGCCACACAAGAAAGAGAAGAATTCTGATTCACCTTTCTAAATATGAAAGGGAAAGAAGAGAATGGTTTTGTTCGTTTTGCAGCCTTGGTCTGGGAAACATCAACTTAAATAAAGCCTGTGCTCCAAAGGGTCATAATAGAGTAAAGTAGAAAGAAAAAAGCCAGGGGCCTGGAGAGATGGGTCAGGCCAAGAGCCCTGGCTGCTCTTCCAGAGGGTCTGGGTTCAATTTCTAGGACCCATATAGCATTTGTCTGTAACTTCAGTTCCATGGAGTCTGATACCCTCTTCTGGCATTGTAGGTGCCAGGGACACATGTTGTATACATATATGCAAACAGGCAAACAACAACAACAACAAAAAACCTACTCATTCACAGAAAATAAAAAATATTTAAAAATTTTAAGGAAAAAAGCCAGGTATATAACTGGTGGTATGCAGTTGGAGTTTGTAGTCAAATGATGGACAGATAGAAAAGGAAAACTCAAACTGATGGAGGGAGTGTGATAATGTGTAAACAACTCAAGAAATACAGATTTTGTATGTTCATGAAAGTTATCAAGTCTCAGGCAGATTGCCACTACTTCTTCCTCCTTTCTCTTGTTATGAGGTACTTAGCAGAGAAGACTGCTCAGGCACGGGTTCAAGCCAACAAAGTCTGCTGTCTACACTGGGCGTTCAGCACTGAGCTTTTCGCGGATGAGTTTTTTAAGCACAAAACCCATGTCCTGAGTTGACATACTAAAGTTAACAAGAACAGTTAGCCAGAAAGCGGAAAAGCAGAAAGAACTACAGAGAACAAGGTTAGAACATTTAGAAACTTTCCCATAGCTATGGACTTTGATGGATTAAGCCTATGTTTTAGTTTTGGCAGGTGGTGCTGCTTATGTGCCGAGGATTACAGCCTGAATAGTACTTCTATCATGGAGACTGTTATGCTGAGGTCTCGAGGCCTACTAAATTCTTGGACTCTGTATTTTTGTTGTTGTTGTTTCGGTTTGGTTTGTGACCAAAGCTAAGGCTGTGAAGCCTTAGCTTTCCTGGACTCACTTTGTAGACCAGGCTGGGTTCGAAGTCACAGAGATCCACCTGCCTCTGGCTTTTATTTATTTATATACTGTTCTGCATGCATGTCAGAAGAGGGCACCAGATCTCATTATGGATGGTTGTGAGCCACCATGTGGTTGCTGGGAATTGAACTCAGGACCTCTGGGAGAGCAGCCAGTGCTCTTCACCTCTGAGCAATCTCTCTAGTCCCTTATTATTTTTTATAAAGATTTATTTTATCTGTATGAGGGTTTTGCCTGTACACCATGTTTTTCTGATGTCTGTGGAGACTAGAAGGAAGTGTTGGATCTCTTGGAACAGACAGCTCTGAGCTGCGGTCTGGGTGATGGGAAGCCTAGCCCGGGTCCTCTGGAATAAGCGGTCTGTGCTCTTGACCAGCTGCAGAGCCATCTCTCTATTCTCTTTTTTTCCTTTCCTTTCTTTTCTTTTTTCCTTCTCCTTTTCTTTCTGTTCTCTTTTCTCTCCTTCTCCCCCTTCCTCTCTTTATTTCTTTTTTGAAACAGTCTCATTTGGCCAGAATGGTTTCAAACTCTTGTATAGCTAAGACCTTGAATTTCTGTTCCTCCTGCCCACAGCTATCCAAGTGCTAGGATTACAAGTATACATTTTTCTTAGCTTTGCTCATTAGAAAATAAGTTATTATTACTTATGCATACAAAAGGTGCACATGTATAAGACATTTTTTTTTTTTGGAGTTTGTTTTTGCCTTTCACCAGGGCCCCAAGGATTAAAACTCAACCTCAATCAATATAGCGAGTACTTTTACCTGCTGAGCCATCTTGCTCAGTGTTGTAATTAATTTGTTGGAGGTGATGATGATTGTTTTTGAGGCAGGGTCTTGATATATAGCCTTGGCTGACTTGGAGTCTAGCCTTGAACTCACAGATCTGCCCGCCTTGCTTCCCTGGTGCTGGTATTAAAGGGTGCGCCAACATGCCTACCTCAGTTTTTTGTTTGGTTTTGGTTTGTTGATGGGTTTTGCTTGCTTGCTTGCCAGCCTGTTTGTTTCAAGATTCTAATTTTTAGCAAGGTGGAAGGTGCTGAATCCCTTTAACCCCAGCACTCAGAAGGCAGAATCAGGTGGATCTTTATAAATTCAAGGCCAACCTAGTCTACAGAGTAAGTTCTAGGACAGTCAGGGCTATACAGAAAAACCCTGTCTTGGGGAGGAACAGAAAAGAAACAATTGGGCTGGAGAGATCGCTCAGAGGTTAATAATAGAACAGTGACTGTTCTTCTAAAGGTCCCAAGTTTAATTCCCAGCAACCACATGGTGGGTCATAACCATCTATAATGAGATCTGGTGCCCTCTTCTGCCTTGCTGGCACAAAGGCATGCCGTATACTCTATAAATAAAAAAGATTACATTTATTTGTGGGGGAAGGGATGGCATCACTGTGTGTTTACAAAAGTCAAAGGACCCCAGAGGGAGTCAATTCTCTCATTATTTTGGTTCCTGAGATCAAAGTTGGATTCTCAGGCTTGGCAGCATCTTGCTGCCTTTCACTAACACCCCGCCTTTTTTTTTTTTTTTTTTTTTTTTTGCATAGAAAGGAAATTAGCAGATAGTTAATTGGTATTGGTGAGTGCTTGCATAAATGTGTTTGTAATAGTAAAAAGTTGAAAATATCATTCACAGTGGGATAATTGACATTTCCATATAACGGGCTATTATCTAGCTCTTGAAATATTTCTTAGAGAATTATCTCCAGTGTGGACTCTAAGTATTACAGACACCATTGAAGAATGGCCTTCATTGTATGAAGTAGAAGCTTACATGTATGCTTATGGGCTAGAATTGTTCACCAACAATTCTAAGAGAGAACAATTCTAAAAGAAGTTTTTTTTTCTTTTCTTTAAATTTCTACTATGTAATCCTAGGCTAGCAATTACAATTCTTCCTTCCTTTTTGTGGCTTAAAATTAGTCTAGGGTCTGTGAAATGGCCTCCAATTCACAGGGCCCATCTGCCTCTGTCTCCCTTGTGCTAGAATGAAAGGCATGTACCACCATGACTGATCTCTCTAGGATCTTGAATGTCTTCATTTGAGGTTGTTTTGTAATCATTTCTAGTATTTTCTAGTCTGAAGCTCAGGACAGCTATGAATGTGACCCAACACAAAATCACAAACTTTGTAGATAGCATTATCTTGCCAAGTAAACATCTGAATGCTCATACAGCCTGTGGGCTGCAGGTTGGACACCCCCTGGAATGTGTTGCTTAAGACTTTATCTGGTGTGGTCTAAGGAATCGAAAAAGGTGGACACCTGTCAGATGTCAAATGACAGTTTATTAATTTGTCCCTTTATAAGTTTGAGTGTTTAGTTCAGGAAAAGTTAAGCACTGTGTATATTACTAATGTAAGATATGATCATTATTTTATGTGTTTTGAGTATTTGTTCTGTACATACGTATGTGTACCACATTGTTGGCCTGGTGACCATAAAGGTCAGAATAGGGCTCAAGATGCCCTGGGACTGGAGATCCAGATGGTTGTGAGCTTTCATGTGGGATCAGGGACTCAACTGGGTCCTCTGCAAGAGTAACAAGTGCTCTTGAGGAATTGTTGCAGTAGCATTTTATAGATTTTGGTCTCTAGCAATTTCACTCTACCAGCTTCATAAGAATATTTCTAAATGTTAAAGTAAAAAATTCTGTAATCTCAGCACTGGGCAGCTGAGGCAGGTGGATCTCTGTGAGTTCAAGGCCAGTGGTCTACAAAGTGAATACAGGACAACCAAGGCTACACAGAGAAACTCTGTCTCAAATAAAACAAAAACAAAAACAAAAAAATTTCTTTTTCAGGACTTTATTTCTGTTTTTATAGATTTTTGATGAAATTGAGTCATGAAACTGTAACCATTGAATTGAAGAATGGAACACAAGTTCATGGAACAATCACAGGTATGGAGGTTGGACTGTTTGTTTTTGTTTGTGTTACGCTTTTTTCACCTGATGGAGAGAGGTTTTTTTTTTTTTTTTTTTTTTTTTTTTTTTTTTTTTTTTTTTTTTTTGGTTGTTTAATGAGCCTGCCTGTGCTGGGATTAGAGGTGTGCACTACCGATGCCCAGTAAGGAAAGAATCTTTTAGATAGATAGATAGATAGATAGATAGATAGATAGATAGATAGATAGATAGATAGATTTTTGTTTGTTTGTTACATATAGTGTTTTGCCTGCACACCAGAAGAGGGCACCAAATCTCATCATAGATGGTTATGAGCCACCATGTGGTTGCAGGGAATTGAACTCAGGACCTCTGGAAGAGCAGTAGCACTCTTAACCTCTGAACCATCTCTCCAGCCTAAGAAAAGGATTTGTAATAGTGACTAAAAAGAGAGAATTCATGTTTTCTGACCATAACTTTTTAAGGAAAGATAATAGGTTTTGGCTGTACAGTTTGTTCTGATGTGTTGGTTAAAAAACTATGATGCCATATATTCATCCTGGGAACCTTGACTCTATACAGTAAAATAATGGCTTAGTGAGAAAACTAGGTTGGGTTGGATCGCTAAACTTTGTAACTATAGTATTTACAAAAGCAGTAACATTAGCCTGGTGGTTCATGCTTGTAATGCCAACACTTAGATCACTAAACTTTGTAACTATAGTATTAACAAAAACAGTAACATTAGCCAGCGTGGTGGTTCATGCTTATAATGCCAACACTTAAAAAGCTAAAACAGGAGCCCTTACTTAGTTTGAGGCAAGTCTGGGCTGCATAGTGACAGCCAGTCTAATGGGATAAAAAGAAACATACAAATAAGTTCAATTAAGGATTGGGCTATGAGGTGATAGAGCATTTTCCTAGTATGCTTGGGATCCTGGATTCAGTCCATAGTGCCATAGATAGATAGATAGATAGATAGATAGATAGATAGATAGATAGATA